AGCAGAGTCGTTTGTTTTGTAACTTTAGTTACTTATATAATTACATTAATAAGCTTAATTAAATCTCATTGTTAAGACAGAAATATTATTTACGCATTTTGTTTTCTAAATTCTATTACCCACATTATTACTATAATTGAATATTCGTGTACTTACGCGCAAGACATTTTGGTGGTTATATAAGAGTCAATTATTTTGATTCATGACTCTTTACTGAAGAAAATGAAGATTAATTATGTATGTTTTAATAACTAAAATATGTCGAGTATAATGTAGGAGTTGTCTCACCTATCTTCATGTTTATCTGAAATTCAAGAATTGGTCTTGTTCTTGAACAGCAAAGGTAAATGAAAGTTACACAATTTATGTATTTAAAGATTTGAATTAAAGGGGCTGTAGATTTCCGATTTTACCATTCAAATAAATAAGTTAGTAAAGCACTTTTCAGATATTCAAAATTCTGTTTTAAAAACGAAAACTATATGTTCATTTTGAAATCAGCTCCTTCTTAAAAGAAGGTATTAATAATTGGATTAAGGAGACAGAAATTGCACACTCGTGTTGATTTAAGCCTGTTTAAAGAGACAATGTAATGATCAAGGTATTTCATTGCTATTGCATTGTGTTAATCATGATACGTTTATCAGCACTTTAATGATATAAAATGGGTTTTTATTTTGGATTTAATGTTAAAAGAACAGCAGAATACCATGAAAGTATGGGCAATTCTTAAAATCGATTTTTTACAATCATCGTACATTGTTATCATTGATACAATTTATTACTTAATACAAAAAAGATAAAATATTCAAATACTTCCTTGCCATATATTTGAAAGTCCTTATTTAAAAAATTCTTTGACAGCACTTTGGATTCGATTTTAAACTATGAAGGAAATAAAACACATTTTCTCAGTTTAATGCGACATTCTAATCTCGCGAGACACCAATAATTGGTGATTCCAGTGTTAAATTGATGGCATATAACTACATGACAAGATAAACTGTTGTAGGTTTAATGTATTTTGTCGACTATCAAATCCCATAGTTAACGTAAAATTAACAATTGATGTTTATTACAGACATGTCATATTATCCTGGTCTATGCCAACTCAATTGAATGTCACCAAAGTGCGCAGATTACAGATATGTCAATGCGGAGAATCACCTTAACACGATGTTACTTACTCGTTGCCTAACGTACGTAATTTGGCTTTAGATATTTTGCTGTTAAAGACGTTTTCGGTAGTTTTCTGTGCGCATCGTTATGCGCATCCAAGAAAGATAATCACGGATAATTACTCTTCAAATGAAGGTAAAGTTGAATAGTATTCGGATAAGTGTTTAAATTTCGGCTACAAGCAAATAATGAGTAAATAATACAGAATAGATATTTCTAAATGTTCAAAAGGAGATTGGTTCAAAAGAATAAGAATGTCGTTTAGACAACATCACATAAAGTATTTCTCCAAGCATTAGTACGACAGCATTGATGATAAGTCTGCGCGCGTTACCCCACCCACTTGTGGTATAGTGACAAAAGTGCGTCGCGACTTGATTACTGGCAGACAACTGGACAAAGTTTAAAATGATATATTTTAAAAGTGTTGAATAAAAAAACAAAATTAATATCCAAGAAATGTTCAGAATTTCATTATTTTCTTTGTAAATTTCTGAATACTTGCTTACTGTTCGGGTATGTTAGTCGAGTAAAAAAAAAATAATATGGCCCTAGATATGTTTTAAAAAAATATTCAGTATCATTTACTTAATATAACATCAAAAGAAAAAGAAATTCTTATTACAACATGTTTTATATTTGACAATACATCTACTATAACACTGATATTTCTTAAGAAAGCGTGGTAATTTTGACAGTTGGCATATGCGGTAACCATAGAAACTGCCCGTTTACAAAAAACTAACACTTCAACATATATATTTTATTTCTATTTTTGAATCCACAATCAAATGTTACTTGATATATCAATAATGTAGAAAATTCTATAAAAGAAATTTCTTGATAGCTTTAATTTTTAACAGAATATTTTCATGCTTATTTTTCTCATTTTTTGTTTAGTTAAAAAGCATGAAAACTCATTTTTTAAAGAAATATGTCCAAATTATCGTTTGTTTTTATACAGAACCCTAAGATAAAGCAAGCTTTGTATAAAATTATGTTTATTGTGAGTGTAATAAGCTATTTTATACATGATTATAATACAGTTTGGATATTTTGACAATTTTGAGATATACGGTTACCATGGAAACTGCCATTTTTCAAAAAATCCAACACGCCAACATATATTTTTCTTTTTCTTTTTGAATTTGCCATTAAATTTTACACAATATACAAAAAAATTAGAAAATTCTATGAAACACTTTTTTCAATATCTCTAATTATTCTGAGAATTCATGTTCATTTTTCTCATTTTTTGTTCGGTTGAGGAACATGGAAAACTCATTTTTTAAAGAAATATGTTCAGATTATCATTTGTTTCATACAGAATGATTAGATAAGGTTATCTTTGCATAAAACAATGCTCGTTGTGTGTTTTAAGTTATCTTATACATTTTCCATTCGTTATAACACAGTTAGGCTATTTTGACAGTTTTTAGATATACGGTTACCATGGAAACTGCCATTTTACAAGAAATCCAACACGTCAACATATATTTTTGTTTTTATTTTTAAATTCGTCATTAAATTTTACTCATCATACAAAAAATTTAGAAAATTCTATGAAAGGATTATTTTTATGTATGTATCTTTTGTAAATGACTTTACTTCATGTCACTTCGATACTATCTAAAATGATATTGTTTTAAATCTGAAGTGTTTTTTATTTTTCTACAAATCTATTTGTTATATATAGAAGTAAGAAAAATATTCTTTATTGTATTTCTGTCTCGCTAATAAAACTAACCACTTCTTCATATTTTGTTAACTCTATGAAAGACAAAATTTTAGAATGCATTTTCTGCTTAAAACAACAGAAGAGATAGAAAAACAACAGGTTCTTACAAAAGGTTTAATAACATGAAAAAGAAAAATCAGTATGACCAGTACAAGAGAATAATCATTCTGAAGAAATCAAAAGTGTTGACACCACTTGATGGCAAAACAGCTATTGATACCAGAAATCAAGAACAGATGAGAAAACTGGTAAAATTATCTTTAGATTCCTTCTCACCTTATCGTGTTTCGCATATTATGTTTTAAGAGTAATATGCCAAAGGGTCGAGGAAAAGTTCATATTTTAAAAACCTTATAAATATACGTATTACATATTTCCTTAGTATTAAATTAAGAGTAGAACTTGCTATTTTCTATAATCTTACCACTACAAAAAGTAGTAACGAATTCACAAGACTAAGAGTAAGTTTACGGGTTGAACAAATATAAATATAAAATAAAATATGTTATCTATGGTTTGTCCGCGATTAAAGTGTTTCGAGCTCAACTATAGAAATGAAAAAGCGGTATATTCGTTATGTATGTTGAAGTTATCAATTTTGAATATCTAATGTTTGAAATAAAATCTAACATTTTGAAGAATCGCAAACAATTATTTTTTTCATAAACCATGTCGTTTGTCATTTCAGAATAAATTCATGTTTATATATTACTTGTATTAGTACAATTTTACGAAATGAAGAACGAAACCAACCATTTTTTTATCTTCAAGAATGTAGACCAATGCATCGAAGTGTATGTGTTTTCATAAAAGTAACACATTTAACATTATTTACATTAAGTATATTGAGTAAAAGGATACCATATTCCATTTAACATTAATGATGCACTGAGTTATTTATACTCATAAAAGTCGCATCTTCTAACTAAAATGCATGATTTACTACAATGGGAAGTTATGAGTGTAATTGAAGTAAACATACGGTTACTGGAATGCGCCTCTTGTCATGCTGGCATAATGTTAATAATTAATACTACTGTTCATGATTGTCACAATTTAAGACCTATTAAACATACATTGTTATGATGGTTCGATATGAGTTAATGATATAATGCATTTTCTGCTTAAAACAACAGAAGATCGAAATCGAAAAAAAAGTTCTATTACAATGAATATCCTTTTTTTTCTAAAAGAAAACAGTTTTAAACAAGAAACATTGACCTTCAGGCTGAATGAGAAGTAATGGGACATATATTTGTTGAAAAATATGCATGTGCTTATATTTCACAGCTTTTCACAAGAGTTTGGACCGTGACTAAAGCTTCCTTTCTTTTCGTATGCTGAGAGTAATTATCATAATCGTCAAAATGGAAACCTTAAATGTCAACCATAGCACTGAAGAATACAATTTTCATAATCCAAGAGTTCATGATCTATAATTTTTTGCATAATTGCCCGTTTATCAAAACCTTACATAATTGTCAAGTGTTAGTCAAAATGTTACTTACACCATTATTGTTATTGTACGAGCGTTCGAGAATGTGCAGATCGCATTATGTATCATGATCGAATTTCAGTTGTCAGATTAAGGTGATGCAACAACTACGAGTGTGACCACATATAAGTTACTATATAAACTTTCAGTCGGCGATGTGGAATGTAAAATGTATACTATTTTTAAGTGAAACACTATTGTTTTAAGGCATAATTATTCAGGTTAAATGACTTTCATTTGTCATAAAGATTTGCCTCTTTACATGATTCTGTTATTTTGTGTGAATTTAATGTGTGAATTTAATGTAATGACAAAGTATATTCCCTCCGGGCAAATTCAGTTTCCTCTAACATTCAGAGAAATTCTGATATTGATAGATAATGCAAGTGCTTATACATGTACATGAAAATAAAATATTTGAGAGTTAAAATTGTTCCTATATACATCTACAGTGAGGTTATCTTCTAAATAGTTTGGAATGAGTTTAGTTACTTTTAACCTAGGATTTAATCTAAAAAAGAGATATATAACTGCATTACACATACAAATTTATTAGAAAAAAAACCTTATTTACTACGACATGAGATCAAACGTTTGATTAAGTAATGATTACATGAATATTCATGATGACTGATAATAAGTTATTGAACCAGTTCCTATTTTGTTAACTATGAAAATGTTGTGTAGAAATTTATTTTTATTGTTATGTTAATGAGCAATTTGCATCAAATATTCTAAATATTTTATTAAATACTTTTGAAATTAAACAAGCAATATATAATACGTGAATTTTCAACGATATTTAAATGACAATTTTGCAAATTAAAATTTTATTAAAAAATAATGAAAAAGATCATGCTACAAACTAAATACTACTTTATATATCTGAGCATTTTATTAAGACAAAACTTACAAGTACATACTACAAAAACTTTACAATGTTACTCTTCTATTCTGTTTTCTTCGGCACATATCAAGACAGAATGTTCGAAATTGAGCATTACAAAACGAATAAATTATAGGATTTATAGCACTAGATAAAAGGTAGGATCTCAAAAACACGTTATATGTCATATAACTAGTGCCTTCTAATTGGCTCAAGAAATCCGAGTAAGTCTGGCGGATAATGGCAATAATATAAAACGGTAGAAAACTAATTATGTATGCACAGGTAATAAGAAACAACATTAATGTTGACCGTCCGATACGTATCTTCATGTGCATACAATGTCCGTTCATTTTCGTTAACGAATCTTTCAACGTCCCTTTCCTCTTTTTAAATTTCTTTTTACTAGTCCGTGGTCTCTCTTTGCTCGAGCCACCGTTCCGTTGCTCGATGGGAACAGATACAATAGTCTCACATTTTCCGTCACACGTAGAAACAGTGTCAGCAGCAGAAATTTCATTAAATGAATGACTCAAATTAAGCTGGGGGACTTCCAATTGTTTTAATTCTATACCATCAGATTTAGTTTTTTTTAAAGACTTCCGTCTTATCTGTGATTTCTTTAATTCGGTTGAATCAGATTCTTGCATCAGAGTTTCATCTTTACTTGGCGATGAATTTTCTTTTTCTATCATACTCTTAGCAGCAGCACTTTCAGCTTTTCGTATCAATCGCATCTTCCGATGTTTACATACTTGTATTCCAACAAAATAATACAAAACTGATAATGTGGTGAATATAGCAACTGTACTTGCCATCTGTAATATGAAAAATATGGTTGGATATATTGATCGGTCATATCTATTTTCTAACAAACATGATTTGCCATTAACATTTCCTAACGGAATAGTTCTTGTTCCATAAAATAGTAAAGACGGCCAAGTTATTGTCAAGGCAATTAATATACAGCCTATGCACATGTATTTTGACCTCTGAGCACTAAATTGAGGTCCATGAGGTCGACAGATCCGTCGAAATCTGTCAAAAGCAATTGCTACCAGAATAGCCGCTGACGAGCTATTTAGTATATACGTAGAAAATCGCGTCACCTTACAAAGCCAAGGTTTATCAAGAATTACTGAATATATCATTATGTATATTTCCATTGGTAAAGTTGTCATACAATTGATTAAATCCAGTGCGGTTAAAAACAATATAAACATCCTTGATGTACTCTTCCTCCATTTAAAGAAATAAACATACAACACAATGGCGTTCCCTGGTGTTCCAATGAGCATTAAAATAGATGTGTAAAGTATTGCCGGTAACTTTGATTTAAATTCTTTCAAGTTGTATTCATATAGAATATTGTTTTCTTCCACATCTTCAGTGATGTTGGTCAAATTCAGTTGAATTAGGTCACGATTCTCTGTCATCAAGTCTCGGTAAGTAAAGCTAGATTCCATGATCCACTACTTTTATCTATAAATACACCATTTGTTCTACAATGCTGAAAACTATTCACAAGATTACTCAGCCTATATGTCGTTTTAATACAACTTGAAAGACATTGCCTCCCTTGATGATTATATTGTGTTTCTGTTTGAGTGCAAAATCTATTTTCGATTGTAAACAACCATTAAGTCGAGTTTGTTATAAAATATTTTGCATTCTAACGATTGTAAGTGAATAATTTTCCGTTCCTAAGAGAGGCTGTCAATTATTTTTGTACTAACAACATTGAAGCCTTTTGATAATCCTTTTATAGTTAAAATAACATCATTTAATATCCCGTTTAATCTTCTCTTTGTTGATATATCATCTTAGGAGAACTAATTCATCATAAATTCAGTATGTTAATTAACTTAAGCATATGCTTATAAATATCATGTTAGCAATTCTTAACTATTTTGTAGGATATTCGAATGTTCATCACTTCTAAGGCATCTGCCAATTTAATTAAACGTTATGTTTTTCTTCAATTAGTTGTCCAAAGAATCTCATTAACACTCTTGTTTACCTCTGAAGGCACTTGTTTGGTAAGTTTTTCCCTCCGAGCTAGTCTGTGATCTGTAAAGAGATGAAGATATTTTGAAAAGGTGTTCAGCTGACGTGATCTATCATGATGAAATGGAAATTACAAGCAGGAGTACATTCATTCATACTATCGGAGTAAAATAAAACACCACTGTATCATGTTTAAAGTTAAACATTAGTTTTGGTTTTATTTCAATTAGCGGTTTGTAGTTATCTAACATGTATTACTCGATTATGTCACTAATAACTTGTTTTAACTGAAAGAAAATTCAACCAATAAATACGCTCTATTTATTGACTGAATATATAATAAACCCAACGCTACTTTAACTTAGTTAATGGTCGATTCCCAGATACAATCTGCTTTGAAAAACAAGTGAATGAAGCAGGAAAACATAAACACATGTTCAATTCAAAATATGATTGATAACAGAACCAAACATAAATGTTATGATATGTAATATTCATTAAGAATGATTTATTTATATGAGTTTCCCATGTATTTGCTGGAAATTAATATGTATGGAGCTGAATACCTAGCTTCTAGCTACTGTCTGTTTATTGACTTATATTCCTTGTTTTATTTCTAAACTGATATACTTTCAAATTATTATACTGCCACAAACTACAATGGGTTCTCAAATTTATGCATGTTAAATAAAAGATACAGTATCGTGTTAAGAAAAGAAAAAAAATTAAATTGTCTTTATGGTCTGACTATTTTTTTCAGTGGAAACTGTATTATGATACTATAGTATGAATATATTATATTGTTGCTAATCACTTGTTTATATGTCATTTATGATTTTTATGTAAAAAGTCCACAAATACAGATATGATAAAATAACCAAAACAGCACGAACAATTGTAGTCTCAGTTAAAACAGTTAAGTCGCTATAAAGAAACAAAACAAATATATGAAAAGAGTGTTTGATAAATATGATTAAAATAAGGGCATCACATATTTAAAAATTTACCAAAATATGAAGTGCTATTCTGACGTCGTCGCTTATTTTTTACACGTGGTATGTGAATGTGACTATGTTATGTATTAATGAAAATACTTACAGTACAAAGATATAAAATATAAGCTTAAACTCTGAATGGTTTAACTAAAAGTAGCTATACGTTAAATTTTATTTCTAAAGCACGATAAAATGTAAACTGTTAACTCTATTGAAATCGGCTACATTTTGAGTTTTTGTTTTTGAAAAACAAAATTCACCTGACATTAACTCGAGAAAATTTAAACATAGTATAACAATTTTGATAATATATAAATACACCATCATAAAATGAAACTCATCTTCGAGTTCACGCTAATTGCATATTTAACATTTTTTCATTCATGCTTTTTATCTTTTAATATTTCCCTATTCCTGTTTTAATGCGTAATATTTATAATATATATGTTTTACTTTAAACAAAGCTCGGGTAGTTCTTATATTCAAAATCATGATTAAAATATACATATAAAGTTAAACATTTTGTTATTTTGCAACATGTTACTCTTTTTCTATACAAAAATAGAATAAACTGCAGCTTCTAAATGCTATTAAAACACAAAACACAAAAAACTCGTCAATCTTTCCATAAGACTAACTTGCATATTGCTACTATAAACGAACAAATGAAAATATGAAAAATATTTTAATAATGACAAAAAGAGGAAAAAGCGATATAATTCAAAGAGATAGGGCACAAAATGGGCGCAATTTAATGAAACACTTCTAATATGTTACAAGTATAACTCTAAGTAACATGTACGTAACATCGATGTAACACATATAAAGGCTGTAACCCTTAAGGTAACTTATATGTGTTTTGAAATCAGTCGTAAAAAGTATGTAGAAATGTTCATTTTCAAGGCTTGTGCTGTAACACTTGTAACAACCTGTAACATTTGTAACAATTATCTGTGAAATTTTCATTTTATTCTCAACTCTCGTAACATTTGTAACAATACTGTAACAACTATGTAACAACTATGTAACATCTATGTAACCTTATTAATTCCGTTTTCTGACCATTTTTAAGGCTTGTGCTGTAACACTTGTAACAACCTGTAACATTTGTAACAATAATGTGTGAAATTTTCATTTCATTCTCAACCTTCGTAACCTATGTAACAATGCTGTAACAAACTATGTAAACAACATTGTAACATCTATGTAACTTTATTAATTCCGTTCTCTGACCATTTTTAAGGCTTGTGCTGTATACACTTGTAACAACCTGTAACATTTGTAACAATTATGTGTGAAATTTCATTTTATTCTCAACTCTTCGTAACATTTGTAACAATACTGTAACAACTATGTAACAACATTGTAACATCTATGTAACCTAATTAATTCCGTTTTCTGACCATTTTTTAAGGCTTGTGCTGTAACACTTGTAAACAACCTGTAACATTTGTAACAATTATCTGTGAATTTTTCATTTCATTCTCAACCTTCGTAACATTTGTAAACAATACTGTAGCAACTATGTAACAACCTTGTAACATCTATGTAAACCTTAAATTTATTTCCGTTTTCTGACATTTTTAAGGCTTGTGCTGTAACACTTGTAACAACCTGTAACAATTTGTAACAATTATCTGTGAAAATTTTCATTTTATTCTCAACTCTCGTAACATTTGTAACAATACTGTAACAACTATGTAACAACATTGTAACATCTATGTAACTAATTAATTCCGTTTTCTGACCACTTTTTAAGGCTTGTGCTGTAACACTTGTAACAACTGTAACATTTTGTAACAATAATGTGTGAATTTTTTATTTCATTCTCAACCTTTGTAACAATTTGTAACAATACTGTTAACAACTATGTAACAACTTGTAAAACATCTAATGTAACCTTACTTATTTTCGTTTTCTGACCATTTTTTTAAGGCTTGTGCTGTAACACTTGTAAACAACTGTAACATTTGTAACAATAATGTGTGAAATTTTCATTTGCATTCTCAACTCTCGTTACATTTGTACAATACTGTAACAACTATGTATAACAACCTTGTAACATATATGTAACCTTATTAATTCCGATTTCTGGTCATTTCCAAGGCTTGTTCTGTAACACTTGTAAAACCTGTAACATTTGTAACAAATAATGTGTGAAATTTTTCATTTCATTCTCAACCTTCGTAACATTTGTAACAATACTGTAACAACTATGTAACAACATTGTAAATCTATGTAACCTTATTATTTCCGTTTTTCTGACCATTTTTAAGGATTGTGCTGTAAACACTTGTAACAACCTGTAACATTTGTAACAATAATGTGTGAAAAATTTTCATTTCATTCTCAAACTCTCGTAACGATTTGTAACAATGCTGTAACAACTATGTAACAACCTTGTAACATCTATGTAACCTTATTAATTCGTTT